GAAATGTTAAATCTTTCACCTTTTCAATTTAAGTCAGACAAAAATGCTTGGAACTGACCTCTCGTACTACACAGGACTAACTAGAAATTTCTAAACAGATTTTGTATCGACATATACATTTGACATTTTATGTTTGACTTATCGCTTTACATAATTATAGAACTATTGTAAAAATATTTTGAAAAGAGCAACTACTGAGTTTCTTACTTTCTTCCACGATTATTCTCAGTAGAATCAGAACCCCTGGACATGGAAAAGAAAAAAATGGGGAAAACAGTGATTATATGACTATTCAAAAGTGTATTTTTAATGCCTACTTGAATAAAACATATTTGAATCTTGAATTTCAAACGAGTGAAGGCAAATTTAATTTAATTAACGTAGATTAATTCAATCACAAGAAGAACATAATATACACAATTTTATTTACATATTTACATTTCATTTTTACGTAGGCACACTATACCTATCTGGTAACGCATCTACTTTATTAATCTTCTGAAGAATCATTAATTTTATCAAAGGATGCCGAACTTTCCTTTGTCGGTCTTTCGGCGTGTACTTACAAATAGTAGTATTTATTTTAATTCCAGTCATTCCCAATTGAGCTTTGCTTCGAGTCTAATGTATTAATTGTTTTTACTCTAATCCTTGTTGTTCTCGGAGTGATAAGTTTACAATTTGACATGAGTGACGAAGAGTCGAATAGTTCTAGTCGGAGTAGTGAGAGTTGGAGTTATAGATCTAAAAGACCTAAAAGTAAATTTGATGAGTTTTTCGACATAATTCATGCATTCCAAATTGCTGTAAACTATGCCAACATAAAAAGGTTGAAATAAAAATGAAAAACAGAAACACTTCAGGCTTTAGGAAGCATCTAATATCTTTCCACAAAAAGGAATCACAAATATTTCTTCCTGAAAAACCAAAATTAAGTAGAGATATCACAAGCTTTTTAATAACCACCGGAAAAAGTGGACAGGTAAGAAAAAACATACTTATCACACAATTACATAACACATATACTATGTTGTCTTGTTCTTGCATTTGGGCAACACTATTTAAACTGGACTAGAGTTGTCCCCAATCCGAGACTTTGCTTATTAAAGACTCAATTTCGGACAACAAGTTTGTTCCCATATTCGATGAGGTGTTCCCGAGAAATATTAGCATGACTAGTTTAAAAAACATCATAGGTTTTGCAACCAGCAACAGCAACATATAATTGATACACATCACGCAGCCTTGTGGGACACTAGCATACTCCGACCCTACTATGACCTTGATGATCCAATCTGCAAGGAAACTGAGGATCCAATTGCATAATTTCTCTGGAAGGCCATAGGAAGGAAGCTTCTAAAGAACAGCTTTTTGCCAAAGCCCATCGAAGGCCTTCGCTACGCCCAAAATAACGATCGAGGCCTCTCGTCTTGTTCTTTCTTTATCCTTAATCCTTAGAAAATCCTTTCCACAACTCTGGTCCAAAATGTAAAACATCCCTTTCTTTAGCTCTCCGATGATCTCAGGTCCACGAACATTGGTTGTAACCTTTCTCAAGCAATGCAATAATTTTAGTGGCTTTTATTACTTTACCTAAGTACCATTTTCGAGAACGTTAAACAGCAAAAACAATACTTTAAAATGTTAGGAAAATGAGAAAAGTCAATTAAAATGGACTAAAAGTTATTTAGAGTCAATATTAACTTTCGGGAGTTCGCGTAAAATCTTTAAAAACTAGCCTCAGGATTTTAATTTGGAACGTACATTTTAAACACCACGACACCTTTATAATCAGCCAGTAACATGTTCAAATGATTAAACCTTTTTCGTATTGTTTTTTTTTTCAGGTAGTAAAAAATCAAAACCACTCTTTTTTTTGCAAAAAAAGGGTATATAATTTTGATCCTATTATAAGCCAGTGCTTGACCCGCTTTGAAATGGTGATAAAGCCTCAGATGGTAAATCGCACTGTCTTAGCGTAACAGAAGCCTATTCATTCTTGGCTTGAAGAGTCCCAGATTGTTATTGGACAGAAAAACAGATGCCGGTAAAATGTTTCACTCCTTTGCTCTACGCATTACGAATGACATAGCAAACCATTTGGTTCGAATGCGTGGAATATCGATAACAAAGTGGTGAAGATAACCGCCAACCGCCTTTTTGTCTAATGGTGAAGAAGCGAAAAAAGCGAATAAAGGCATGTAATTCCTTCACCACTCTGTTTTAGAAGTATGGAGGGCGCGGGGCGCTGAGACCCGCTCAGGGATCACATAACGTGGTATGGTGGATGTAATTTAATAAGATTAACAAAGTAAAATTCAACGTTAAGTTTTTGTGGTAGTCACGATTGGTCACGCTGTGTTTATATTTTGAATGCACCATGAATGGGTAGCCTCGACTGGAAACGGTTCAAGCTTTCACAGAACCACAACTTAATACTATTGTTTTTCTAAATCTTTAGACTGGTACACAAGATTCTCTATTTTAGTTGCTGTTACAAGTTTCTAGTTTAGTCTTCAGGGGTAATACAATAGCTACATATTTGGCCAACGTTTTTAAGAGAAATGAATGGCTCGTAGTTAGAGGGGCAATTTTTTTTAACTTTCTTTTGATACGTAGGTATCTAGTACTATTATTTGTTCTGTGCTTTTGACCTTTTTGAAAGTAATATACCCACAGAAATCGTAATAATAAGTTAATAGAAGTCGCATAGACGCGACCTTGTCGCCGCTATGATGTGTTGACGAACATCATTTACCATTTTGTGATTTAGTTGCGTGGGGAACGTCGTACGTGAATTTATGTTATTATAATGGTGAACTGCAACATAATCAGTTGTAAAAACTCGTCAAGGATGTGTAATTCCACTAAAAAAGAAATTTCATCGATAAGTTGATTATTTACTAATTATCATTGTTTTAACTAATTCACATCCAGATGAATACTTTACTATGATATTTCCCTTTCTAAGCTTTCATTTCTTACTTTTCGCATTTACAATTACCATTGCTGCTTTTCTTCTACTGTAATACGCAATGCACGCGAGGTTGACAAATTCGCCAAGCAATGTAATGTGAAATATTAGATGATTAAAACTACTTTTACGGATTTTATCGCGTTTATTTTTACTTTTTATTTTTAATTCCCGACGTTTCGGGCGCTTTCCAGCACCCATGGTCACGGGGGACTGAGATGACTGACGTCCCGATGTCATTGTTAAACCCGGAGTACCTTCAGCTTTTTTAATTATTGTTTATGGTCCGATCTATGCAAAATGAACTGACTATGTCCTGAGGTCTTGCAGTGGTATGCTTGGGTTTAGTTTTAATTTTATTGATTATAGGATCCCAAGCAGGTGGTAGTACCCAGCCTCCTTCTCTATTGAAATTAGGATGTTTTTTTAATTTCAATAGCCTCACGTATCATCCTTGGTAGGAATCGGTGTTCTTTCGCGAGGATTTGTGGTCTATCAAATCTGATGTAATGGTTGGGGCCGTCTAGGATATGATCACAAACTGCAGACTTGATAGACCACAAATCCTCGCGAAAGAACACCGATTCCTACCAAGGATGATACGTGAGGCTATTGAAATTAAAAAACATCCTAATTTCAATAGAGAAGGAGGCTGGGTACTACCACCTGCTTGGGATCCTATAATCAATAAAATTAAAACTAAACCCAAGCATACCACTGCAAGACCTCAGGACATAGTCAGTTCATTTTGCATAGATCGGACCATAAACAATAATTAAAAAAGCTGAAGGTACTCCGGGTTTAACAATGACATCGGGACGTCAGTCATCTCAGTCCCCCGTGACCATGGGTGCTGGAAAGCGCCCGAAACGTCGGGAATTAAAAATAAAAAGTAAAAATAAACGCGATAAAATCCGTAAAAGTAGTTTTAATCATGTGCAATGTTCGCGTAAATATAAGAAATCATTATGAAATATTAGATATCATTGTACATTGCGTATGTTTATAATACAGATGCAGGCATCGGCCGCTTAATGTGTGTGTTAAGTAGTGGCGACATCGGTTTTAGAAGTAATCGAGTGCTTATTCATTTCTATTGTCTTATTATTACTATTTCTGTGAATGTACCATTGTCGGAGTTTACTTTCATTTTCCAATTCGCCTAGGCAATCGGCGAAATTTTGGAGGGTTTGTTTTTTTGTGAGAAAACAGTAAATTTGTTTTATTCGGTGAGAATATAGAAAAGCAGTTGAAAATAGGTATATCGCGAACGGTAGCGGCTTCATAATCTTCAGACCGACCTGTTTATGGAGGTTAGCAGGAGTTTATGTAGCGGAAGTAGATATTAAGATTTTGAACGACAAGATTCTTATAATTATGTATTATGTGTGATGCAGCCATCTTTGCTCTAAAAGTTGGGCTTTGGACCAAATTGTTCTAAAAAATGGCCATGTTCTGCCTTTCCCTCGTTTTATATATAGCAAATATTCTCAAATCACCTAAAACGCAAGTGTTTCCGCAACACAGACGCACTCCCCTATTCCCTCTCTCATAGTTCGATGATGCGTGTTTCCGAGCATAGATCCGAGTCACAGTGCGGATACGTTGCGAACTTCCTGGCTGCGAGCTGTTATTAAGATTTCTTGACCTAGTAACTGATTTTGGCTCGACTAGGGATTCGAACTCGGACTACATTACCAACCATGTAGTAACTTACATTTGAGTGAGTAGAGAGTATTTTGTGATTTCTGCAGCAAATGCTATAGTTATAGAGTACATAGTATAGGAATAAATCTTGCAGTGGGTTCTAATACGCCGCCATAACCGCACAAATGGAATACAAAAAAGAATCAAAGGACTAGAAGGTTTTAAAATGTTTATTAATTGTTTTAAGTTATCTTTATTTCACCACATTAACTAACAAATATATAAAAATAAGTTTTAATTTATGTCAATACTAATGCTTCGAAATTCATATTTACAGTCATGTCCTTAGTAAAGGTAGATAGTTAACCAATTTTATTTATTAACCATATTTGTATACTACCTTTTTATCATCTTTTGTCATCTCTATCATTAATTGAGATAAATCATCACTCACTTTCACGTACACCACGTCATTCGAATCTGTGAAACAGAAATATATTTTAAAAGATAAGTATCTCAGATAAAATAGTCTTGATTACTCTGATAATTCATACATCATGCTGTTGTTTGAGACATTCGGTAGAAGCTGCTGATTGACAAAGGAGATTCGAGACATGCATTGCGTTTTATCCAACAACAAGCGGCGATATAACTGTTACATAATATACACCTATGCCCACGGCTGAACCTGTTACGACACGACACACATTTAATTCGCAAACAGAACTGCCTATTTTTTTTAATAATCGATTGAATTATCGTTTACTTTAACATCAATTGATTACTTACTGGCTTACAAAATTTAAACTTTGTCGTGCCACACGAACTTAACTCATATTTTTTACTTTGATAGATGACTGTTAGTACTGTTGCGCGCTATAATTAGCGCCTGGTATGTGGCGGCTGATTATTAGCGTCATCTGGTATCAAGCAGCAGAAATAGGAGCGTCAAGATCTTTCTAGAACTCTCCCACTATCGCCATCTAGTATCGAATGGAAGAACTAAGCTTTCTAGAAAGCTCCACACTCGAACTTTCTGCACCTGGTCGGTTGGGGGCCGGTATTTGCTGGAATATTCTGGATGTTTCGGTGGAAAAAGCCTATTTAAAGTCGTTGAGGGCCGCGACCGCGATCCGGGCAGTATTGAATTGGTGATACGAGCGAAGCTTTCGGAGCGAAATAAAGTGAACTAAAGTGTTAAGTGTGATTAATTATTAGTGTGATTTAAGTTTTAATTGGTGTTCAGTAAATAAAGTGTCAATTTTGGTAATTCAATCGGCAGTTTTTATGTCACGAACCGTAAGGTCGTAACGATTTCACTTTCCGGAAACGGCCCCGCCACGTCAATGGCTATTCTCTCCCATGGTGTACCAACATTGTACAACTTCAATGCACCTCTACTACGAGTCTGTGGTCCCTTTACAGCCGCACAACTTGTACATTTACGACACCTGTCCTCGACATCGTTTCGACAGTGGACCCAGTAAAACCGTTCTCGGATCATTAGTAGAGTTCGTTTAACTCCCAGAACAATGCCTCCTGAACAATCATTATGGTACAGCTGTAGAACATCCGACACTTTAGCTTTAGTGACAACCATTTGCAAATGACAGCTGTCTCCCCGACCATTATCCCACTTCTGACACCAATTGTTACGAGCTTTTAGAGGTTGTAGTCATCGCTGAGACGTTGCTCCACTTGGGTTAGGGAGCACTGGCCTTCATCCGTTCCAGAATCGGTTTGATGTCCGGATCTTCCTGCTGTGCATGTCGTAAGCTGTCCTTCCATTAGTTTCCGAGGTGGTCTATCCTGAGAATCCTCACAGATACCACTTCCTTACCCTCTTGGCTAGTACTATTCTTGCAATTATCAGGATAAGGTCTTCTTAACAACGTGATGGCTGATGTGAAGAAAACGCTGGACGAACTCAAACTGGGGGATGGAATTACAGCTCCCGTAGTAGCTACAACAACTTCGCTACGTGGATTCAAAGTGCCACCGTTCGACGGGACTTCATCCTAGTCAGCCTAAAAATCCAGTTTTAGGCTGTCACGGAGGCAAACGGCTGGAATAAAAGTCAGGCCATGACTGCACTCACCCTAGGCCTGCCGCCGTTCGACGGGACTTCATCCTAGTCAGCCTACAAAATCCAGTTTGAGGCTGTCATGGAGGCAAACGGCTGGAATAAAAATCAGGCCATGACTCATGCAACTCACCCTAGTAGGCCTGCACGACCAAGCCTTAACTGTGTTGGAAGCTCTCGGTAAGAAAGTTACCTACGAGCAGCTCCTTGACGCATTGGAAGCGAGATATGGCGACGCTCACCTGGAACACGTCTTTAGTGCGCAGCTTAAAGATCGCGTGCAACACAGCAACTAAAACTTGCAGCAGTGGACCCTTGAGTAGAAGATGGTTCGAAAAGCATACCAGTCTGTACCTATGCTCATTGAAGCGAACCTGGTGCCGACATTCATCGACGTCATCCGCGACCTGGAAGTCAGAGCTGCTGTGAGGCTCGGGCATTACGTGACGCTTAAGGAAGCCTTGGCCCATGCACTGGAAGTTGAAGCCGTGCGGCAGGATCATCGTTCCCATCGCATTAGGGAGGTTGCAGTAGCTACAGTTCGCGACCGCAATAATAGATACAGCCCTAGGTGCTATGGTTGTTGGGAAAGGGGCCATCTTCGATCCAGCTGCCCTAAGCGAACTGTAGAAAGGGAAGTTGATCGATCTCGAAAGGCTAGCGGCACCACCCAGCAGCGGCAGGATCATCGTTCTCCTCACGTTAGGGAGGTTGCAGCACCTACAGTTCACGATCACAAAAAAAAGCTATGGGGAAAGGGGCCATCTTCGACCCAGCTGCCCTAAGCGATCTGTAAAAAGAGAAGGTGATCGATCTCGAGAGGGTTGTGTGGCTTACAACACCGCCCAGCAGCAGCAGGAATACAACTTTACGATCGGACACTGCAGCGGGAAATGGCATGGCAACACAGATGCATTGTCAAGAAGACCTTATCCTGATGATTGCAAGTACTAGCCAAGAGGGTAAGGAAGTAGTATCTATGAGGACGCTCTGGACAGACCACCTCGGCAACGAGTGGAAGGATAGATTACAACATGCACAGCAGGAAGATCCGGACATGAAACCGATTCTGGAATTGATGAAGGCCAGTGCTCCCAAGCCCAAGTGGAGCAACGTCTCAGCCATGAGTTCAACCACTTAAAGCTCGTAACAGTAAAAATGAGTAACTAAAAAAATATTGGCCAAGAATTTCATCGATTGATGTAATTTAAATATTTCAACAAATAATAATGACCGTCCGTAAGAAAAAAAAAGTTCTATTATGAATTTACGATTTAGGATTTTCTGGTAAATTTAGCTCCTGGTCCCTTTTCTACGTCCAGCAGTATTCGGCCAACATCCTTGAGTTTTCCATTTGCGTTGATAGCGCTTTTCCATTTCTCTGTGAAATGGCCTGATAGAACCTAACTTAATGTGCAATGGTGGAAGAACTTCAGACGGCTCTACAAGAATATTTCTCTTTTTTCTGTCCAGGGCTTAAAGATCTCTCTAACTATCCAATTCACAAAGAAAACAACATAATTTAGTATAACCAACTGAAGTCCGAGTAATAGGGCAACATCCTTGAAATCACAACAGATTTTGAAAGAATATTTATTTTATTTGATTTTTTCAAATAATAACTTCATGTTTTCATCATAGGTTTCTTTCATATTAGTAGCATGGGCCAGCGGTATAGAAGGAAATACTTTTCCGATATGTAGTAAAACTGTTTATAAGGATCAAATTGGATTTTTAAATTCTTCATCACCCATTTATATCACATATATTTCCAATATACCAAGTCTCCATCTTGGGAATAGTATGATCTCAAGAGTTTGTCACGATTTCGAAAATGGCTTATTGTTGTTTCATGATGTAGCAAATTCCATTGTTTCAAACGAGATCCTAAGAGTTCCTACTGCTTTTTTGACAAATTTAAGTCACGAAAGAAGTCGCTTAGGTCTTCTTAAGTTATCCAGTTGGTTTGTTTGAGATTTCTTCAAACTTAGATTCATCGTCATCATCAACGACACGCGATTCGCTCGAAGTGGAGGGCTGTGAATCATTAATCGTAACGGACGCAGAGAAACTGGTATAGGTAAATTGTCACTGTGAAGTACTGATCTCTTAGTTGACTGTAGGGTAATAAACTGTGTTTTTTTTAGAATTAGTACCTTTTATATTTGTAAGACAAAAATGGCAGTTCGAAACGTGATCTTTTGGTCGGTCCAAATCACGGGTACAACTAACGGCATACGACGGGACCCTTTTATCCAATCACATAAATTATTAACACAGGATATGCAACAAATATAGGGGGCCCAAGATTTGTCTTGATGTGCCACAGGGAAACCAATATACTGACGATAACTCTTCATCACAACTTTAGCGAAATTTCGTTTTTGTTTTTTAAAAGTTAATTATCCCACAAACATAACAAAATGAGTCAGGATTTTTGTTACACTTTCTCGGTATATTCACACAATTACAGCAATTACATATAAATCACTAAATTTAGACTAATACGAAAACAATTATGTTAACAACTGTTTATTCGCGACCGTTTGTTTGCGTTTATTACTGTAGTACTAGTTATATGAATCAACACCTCACAAGAAATCTGAGGCCAATCGAAATAAAGCTATTGCTGTTTACTCATGAGGGTAGGTGGTAAAAACAATATTAGCTAACAGAGTTCATGTGGCATGACTAGTGTTGACCAGTGTTATGGATGATGACCTGAATAATCGAAATCGTAGTGAAAATCCTTAATCTGCCAGTGTATAGTGGCCGTGGAAGAATATCCACTGCCCCACATCATCCCGTATCATAAGAGGCGACAGAGGGAAACATATCAGGAAATAAAAAATTAAAAAGCTGCGGTTGCGAACCCCCTCGCCAAGCGTGGAAACTATGGCAAATGTCCCCCTATGAGGTAATCTATGGAGGAGGGCTAAGTGTTTAATAAGCTGTAATGGTAACAGTAAGCCCCTAAGGCAGGGGTCGGCAACCTGCGGCTCGCGAGCCACATGCGTCTCTTTGGATGTGAAGCTGCGGCTCTTTAGTTCCATGCGTAAATATTAATTATTTTATAAAAAACATTTAAGAATCGTTCTGAATCGATTAACGAGTATTAGGCACCATTTCTATCTCTCAGCCTCTTGTACTCGCTTTTCACCGCACCCACACACACGAAATCTACACTGGGCCATTTAAAGTTGATACTGGATTTCTAAAAATGTTATTGATCAATTTAAAAAACATCAGTATATATAATAACAGTATATATAATACGCAATATATATTTTTCTTATGAATAAACAGATGTTTTTTTATCAAAAAAACTTTATTTATGCAAGTACTATTTATGGTTTTGGCAAGAAAAATTTGTGGCTCTTTTAAAAACTTTGAAATTTTGTTAATTGTAATTTTTGACTCTTCTGACTTAAAAGGTTGCCGATCCCTGCGCTAAGGGACAATACAACGCACCGACTTTAAATATTTCATAAAAAAATGATGATGGATATACAATATTTGATAACTATTTACTTAATGTTAGCATGGAGAACTACTATTATTTTATAACATCGCGCCCCTAAGTTATGTACAAAAGGAGAAACAGAAACTTTTTTATTCAATAAAGATTATAAATAATACTTATTGAGTTACTTTTTTTTAAATTTTACAACTGGTTCGAAAATAAACGACGTATTACTAAACAAACTAAAAACCAGTGCTATTAGTTTGTTTAGTGCCTACTAATGCAGTCTGTCTATGCCGTCTACGAAATTCCGTTAGTTTGTATGCGCAAAGCAAAAAGGTACAGGCTATAAAGCATTCATGTTAGTCCTTACAAATGACAATAAAAGTCACCTGGTGTAGTAGCTACTTAATATTGTGTTAGATTATAAACTTATTTGACACTGGTGCATTTGTCCCATATATGGACTCTATCTGACCTTCATTTATATGCCATAATATTCTTTTAAACCTACCTGGTATAAAAGTTGAGTCTGGCAATTCATACTTAGCCTCAGTAATTTGATCATCTTTTATTTCATTTACATCTGCAAACACCAAGTCTTGCATTAAGTTTTGAGTTCCAATAGTAATTATTTCACTTGGTTCTTTCCCTGCTGTATCTAATTGTTCCCCTATTCTATTTCTTTTAATGGGCCGTACAATGTCTTCATTAATCCTTTTTTTAATTAATGCTTCGCCTTTTTTAACAGTCTCATACTTTCCTACATCTGCTGATTTAACTTTTAAAGCACGGTCTATTTCTTTGCGTATCATCAATTTTACATCTTCAGATAAATCAACCCCACTGTCATAGTTTTTTGTATATTTTGTGATAGGTTCATCATCACTTGACATACTGCAATCTTCCTGTTCCTCACCTTCACTGTTGTCTGCAGAGATCGGAGTCACATGCGTCGCTTTAAACAATTTACGCCATTTTTTAATGAGATTGTCAGCTAATTTCTGAAATATTTTTACAATATATATATTTAGAAATAAACTCAAATATTTACGAAAACTTATTTAAAAACAATTTTTATAAGCGTTCCCATGGCCAGCATCTGGGTCAATTATCAGATCAGCCCCATTGTACAATATTATTCCATTGTTATTTAAGTTACAAAAGACAGCAATGATATAAAAAGAAAGCAAGTTAAATAAAAGTTTGTAACTAGTGAATATAAAAATGTTATTATTATTTTAAATGTTATGTCTTTTACAAGAATTTGTTTAAAATTCAGCAAGTTTATTCTGGCAACACTGTCATCAGCGACGGTATATTTGAATGTGTGGCGGTAACAGTGGCGGCCTCGGCGTCGTCAAAGATTTAATAACACAAACAGTATCACCGTGAGCTTTTAACAACACCACGAAGCACGTGTAACAGCGATCAAAAAATTCGCCGGCACGTGTAAGCTGACTTCTTAACTTTTATACTGCCGAACTTTGCCAGTTTTCAGTTTCACTCACAGATTGCTTCAGAGTGGTTGTTGCTGTGTTGATACTTGTGATTGTGTTCTAAGGAATGTCGCACTCTATTCAGAAGTTTTTTGATATGTAAATGTCTGGGTGGATGTGACTACAACTATGAAACTTTTGCTTTTTCAATCATTGTTATAAACAAACTATAAACTGATAAGTGAAGTTGAAAATCAAGAGAGGTCAAGATTGTGACCTCTAGATTTGTAAACCATCAGCCACCTGAGCCGCATGTATTGCCATGTAAATAATCCCCATTTAAATTAAATTTTATTTTTTAAATTAAAAATTATTCTCTGAAAATTATTACATGAATGGAATATCACAATACCTAATGGCATCAGCATAGATTGGATAAGGCTTTTTTTAATATGCATCCACAAACTCTGAAGGAAATCATCTCCATCTGTTTTGGCATCAATAGTTCAAAAAAGATAAATGAATTATACAAAAGCGCAATTGGATTATAACTGCATGGTTGTGGCATAAGAAAATGCACCACCCTATTTGCAGTTGGTGTTGTGAAAGGCTACTATGGGAAATGCCATATGGGCCTATGGGCTTTCGATAAATGATAGTGTTATCATCTGGTGAAAGCATCAAATACCCAGACTGGTGACAAAAAGCAGCATGAAAAATTTGGTACAACCATCATCAATCCATCTGCTAAGTGTGTCAATTCAGCAAGCCCTCCCTATAATGTGGGAGGCCCACATGCACATTCAATGGACTGTTATGGGGTGATAAAGGCTGAAGAAAAAACTTCTCTGTCATTTTGGTAGATAGTTGGGTTAATAGTTGTAGATAATTGTTCCTGTCATATTTAATTCATATGTTAAAGAATGTAAATACATTACACAACTAACATTAATAAGTAAAAATCTAAAATTATACATAAATTGTGTGCATTCTTACAAATTTAAAAGGCTTCGGCATTCTTAGCATATAGTGGTCTGGATGTGCTTCTTGCATCTCGCACTTTTGACAGAGATCATAATCATCGCAATTGACACATTTGTAACGGAAGCCCAAGATTGGATTGTTGCAATTATTACAAACTATATCACTGTGCACCGCAGGTTCACTTTTTATTTCCTCTGTAAACAAATTATGTTACAATTTACTAACTACTTGGCTAAATATCATTCACTAATTATTTTATTCATAATTCATTTCATTATTGCAGCCAATTACGAGTCCACTACTAAACATGTGCTTCCCCGGTAGATTGCCTTGTAGCATGTGTATTGCCACATTTAGCAGAGAGGTTAACAACTACAATCTTGGTTAAACTATAGACATCCGGTACTCGCGTACAGTGGTGGGAGTGAAAGGGAGGGGGAGGGTTCATGGGCATGACCCCCCTTCCCTTCGCCATTTGCGGAAATGTATAGTTGTAAAATCATAACCTCACTTTTTTACACAGGAATGTTGACACAAAGTTACTTCTGCAACGCCTTCGGCACTGCGGGAAGTACAGAACCTTCGCCCTTGCGTAGCAAATCACAGGCACCCATACCCATGCTCGCCTCCGCAGCTTTGGCTCACTCAGGGACCTGCAATTTTCACAGTGGGCAGTGGGTGCTCTCCCTCCACGCCTACAGCTTTACAAAAACACTGTAGGGGTAGGGCAAATAAGATTACGTGAAGTCGGGGCGTACATGCTAATTCAGTTTCAGAACCAATTCGACCAATCATATCTATAAAGTTAGGTTGCCCTAAACTCTGCTATGATAGTGGTAAATGAAATAATGTAATATGTATTGTTATAATTTTATTTTCTGAAAAACCTCTTGACTGCTCTCCACTGCGACTCAATTTGTTGTATGTGAGTCCTGTCTTCAGCCACATATGAATTATTTGGATCTAAGTGATTAACTTTTTTACGAGTGTATCTATTTAAAAAAATATATTGTTATATTTGCGTTTCGTTATAAGCAATTTTAGTGAAATTTATTTTGTAATTAATTCAAAACGCATTTTCGACATACAAAAACAGTGTAAAAGGTTCAAGCTTAACCCTGACAAGCCTCATACACTGAAAATATAATTAAAATCAAGTACCGGATATCTATAGCAAACTCACAATCTTTATTACTACTGACATATCAAGAAAATGCTGCCACCTAATTCTTGTTGCAGCTTCCCTTTGTCACCCTTTATTCATGGGATAATATGTGCTAGTGGATCCTTTACAGTGTCACACAATATGGCACGAGATTGTATTTGTAATTAAAATTGTTATTACCGTCACTCCAAGTTCCAGGAAGGCATAGAGTAGGCACTGCATCAGAGCATAGATGTCTATTTTTGATGCTGGATGGAGGAAAGTGTCGGGAACAAAAGCGATAAGATACTGCTACCTTTTCCTCCTTCTTTTTAAGTAAATCCTCTCTACATGCTGCTTTGAGCCATTCAATTTGACTAAAATAAAGAAATTAATAAATAAATGTTATCTATTTATTTATAAACAAATATTATTAAATTATTAAAGTTAATTTAAGTAAATGACACTGTTGAGCATGAGATCCTGGGTTTGAATTCCAGGTCAGGCAAAAAAATTCCCAGTGGCAGCTCAGGGTCAAGATATCAATGGTAATTCAACCTCATGCCTCTGAAAGCATATAAAGCTATTGGTCCTGCACTTCATCCCTCTCAGCTTTTGTCGGTTTGCCATCTCATCATCATGTCCTGTGCAGATGGTGGATCCCAATTGTAGGCGCAAGCACAGGTGCACTCTCCATTCCTTCACTCTAATAGTCTGATAGGACAGTAAATTGATATGACCGGAGAGAGGTTATGGACAGCACAAATGGCTTTACACATTCTCTGAGGAAACACACATCACAGGAGTGAAACACCGCCTACTTCCTAACTCCGGGCTGCTACTGAGGATTTCTTGACAGAAAAACTTTTATAATTGGTCATGGACCACTTTGATAATTTTAAGTAGCAATAAGATTGCAGTTGAAGGCTACTTGCATCTTTAATGCTTCTCTCAAATCATCTTAATGAATGGACAACTAAAACTGCACTATCTTAAAAGTCACCTCATTAATAAAGCTGAACCGTTGATTAGGCACACACCACAGATGCCAATTACAGCGAATGTTGGTCTCAACTACAAAAGCGCTATGAAAATTAAAAGTACCTAACCAGTATTATTTTAAATGATAGCTCAATCTGCTGTTGTTTTACATTTGGTAAACACCAATTGTAAAACAACACCACTGTTTTACATTTGGTATTTACCAAATGTAAAACACCAATACTATTTAGGAGTTGGAGGTAGATATACTGCCATCAACCGGAGGCCTTTAAATCTTTCTGTCATTTCCCTTAGATCTTTCCTTACACTTACAAGCTTACAACTTTCACTAGGAGTAATGTTCTATGCTTACAAGTTACAACACCCAAGGGATAATATGAAGTGATAAATTCTCATACAGTTACCAAACATGGTGTTTTATTTTTTAAGTATTCAGGAATGAGACTATATCTATTCTTTATCTGCAGTATCTATAAACAAAACATTTTTATTGAATGTCTGTGTAAAATTAACAGTGTTCAACAATTATTATTGATTGTAACCTTCATGTGTAAGATTTATACATAATAGAACTTTAACTGTTTTGAGGTACTAACCGGTGTCTGTCTTTTGGCAAGCTATAATAATTTAAATGTTTGTTAAGCCTACTGTTTCGACCGCAACCATATACACAACAATAGTTAACCATTGTTTTCAATGTAGACGATAACGTTTGATAACCATTGATAACGCTACCAAATTTTTGTTTATTATAGTTTTTTGTTTACAGTAAGTAGCAAGTGGTAGCAAGTAATAGTGTTCTGTGGTAAGCAGGGTTGCCGTTCTACAAATTTTAAAGTCCCTAGACTAACAGAAAAAATCCGCCAGAAACTGGATTTTTCTTCTTCTTAAAATCCGCTAGATGTCCCTAGGTACATTTTTGTGGTACCCAATGGCTTACTGAAAAATCTTGCCAAATGGTATACAATGGTATACAATTAATACCGAAAATCTAAATCTATAAATTCAGAAAATCCTTAAAAAAGAGCGGACTCTATTTCATGTAAATCAATTATATATAAGGTAATGAGTAAAATTAGGTTAATGACATGACAACTAAAACAAAAATTATTCATGCACAAAATAAAAAAAATATTGTAAAAAAAATAAATCACTTTAAACCACGTTTAAAAATTAGTCAACATCTTATTAAAAATAAAACAATTAGCTCAGTACGTTCTTGTACCTAAATTTCAAAATTAATAGCGAAGTATGGATCCAGATCTTCAAAAAGAACTTCAGCGGAAGTTGAAGCTTCGCCAATGTCTCCAGTTCCCATCTTTGGTTTGCCTTTACCGACTTGGTTGACATCTTCGGAAATATCATACTTTGCGCAGTTCTTTTTGACGTGACAACGTCTTATAAATTGGTTTGCCGGGTGACACTTCAAGAAACTGCGTTACGCTCCGCTCACGTTATGCGCTCACAATGAGAGCGAGTGAGAGGCACGCGTCCCTTCCACTCGGGCATGGTTAGCCCGCCTAAGAGCGAGAGAGACAGACATAAAAAGTGAAAGGCACGCGTCCCTTCCACTCGAGCACAGTTAGCCCGCCTAAGAGCAGAGAGACAGAGCGAGAGAGAGAGAGTGAGAGAGTCGTTGTCACGTAAAACTTTCGCCCGTATACCGACTTTACAGGCAACCAATATTTTGATCCCTAACAGATTTCTAATCAGAAGAATGGTATTTAAAGTTTTTTGTGATAGCTTGTTTCGCAGTTTGCTTTTAACTACATTCATAGCACCAAATACGCGTTCAAAGTCTGCATTTGAGTGCGGTAGTGATAATATTACTATTGCAAAATTAAATAAATCTTTGAATATGTTTACTCCTACTGCGTTTTTGTATGTCGAAACCTTAGAACATGGTCTCAGGTCAAAACAGATGAAAGTGAATGAACGACATTGAATTGTTAGTTTATGTTCGGGAATTCCCGTGAAATTATATTATATATACAGTGTTACCAATGGTAGATTACAAAATTGGACATATGATAAATGACTTATTTGAAATTAATTACTTTGTAAAAAAAAGTCTCCATCTCAAAAGTCCAAATGTCGCTAGAAGTCGCTAAATAATTATTTCTCGCTAAAACGATTTTTTTATCCGCTAAACATTGCTAAAATCCGCTAGATCTGGCGAGAAAGTCGCTAAAACGGCAACACTGGCTGGTAAGTAGCTTAAAGAGCGAAATCCAAGAAATTAGGGTTTTTTTATTAACTGGCTTCACGGATTGGGGTTCTAGCCTTTCTGAGCCTGGTAATTAGTTTATGTTGTGCATGGATAAATAGGTAGCCATCTAATGTTGTGCATGTACTCTTATTAGTTTGTGGATTATTTTATTATAACAGGCGTAGACAGAGAAACCTATAAGACAAATTGACGCCTTCTTTCGCATTCGCACACGAAAAAGATAGATTTATGCATACTTCTTGCATAAAAATGAGACAGAGTGGTATGATTGTTTGTCCCTTTCTCCGTGCCGGTTTTTTTGTTTAGCTAACTACACTTTGCTAAACAACTTTGACAGTTCGTGGCGATCGAAGAAGTTTACAGGTTGGTTTAAGTGGGAAAAAAAGTGTTTGTGCTCGCGGCTGACGGACGCGTCCGATAATTTGTTCTCAGCTTAAACAGGCTTTACGGCTCTGGGTTCTAGTCCTTCTGAGTCCGATCGACCATTCACTCTCAATGTATGTAGCTAGTCTGTGTATTCTATAGGTTCATTATCGTAGACAGAGAAACCTATAGACAGATTGACGCCTTCTTTCGCTTTCGCACACGTTAAAGATAGATTTATGCATACGTCTTGTATAGAAATGAGACAGAGCGTTGTGCGTAGACAGAGAAACCTATCGACTAATGATTAGCGTGGTCTCGAGTGAGAAAGGACGATAACGTAGTTTTAGGCTATACAATAATCTTTATGACTATTACACATATTTAGATAAAAAAATTTAATGTTCCAAGAACTGAACTGAACAAAATTCACCAATCTTAAGCTCAGAAAAAACTTTTTTATCACTTAAACCAACTAGTTATGCAACCACAAGACCATAGGGTTGTTACGGTTCGTATTTAGAGGGGGCTGCATAAGCATTAGACAGTATCCAGTAACTGTAGAGTCAGCGCTTTTGGTTGCATGAGGTATCAGGCAGAGCTCATGGGAGCGGTCACATCGTTTTGACATCGACTTCTGTCAAGACGTATTAATTAAGTAGTTATAATTATAATTGTAATTAGAAATAAATAGATTTTAAATAGTTTTTAAAAAATCATTTTACGTTCCCGTAATCTTGACTGGCGCAGCCGGTAGGATCGTCACACTTCGGTAGTGTTGCGTCCTTCGCGAATTCGATAATTCGCGAAGGACGCAACTCTACCGAAGTGTACCAACTCTGTCGTAACTGGAGGTCCACGTTGCGAAGAAAAACCGAGACTAACCTCGAACCAAAGAAATTTGTTAAGGAAGCGGAGCTGATCCTGAACCATGAGAGCACCTGGCGGCTTGTGAGTAGAACTTTTCACTATCCTTTCCACTACCTCGACGTTCTGTTATCTTGAGATCGAACTTCTCTCATTTTAACGTATTCTGGTCAAATAGTTTAAAAATTAAATAAATAATTGTATGTAATAAATAGTTTAAGTTTCACCTAGTTTCATAATTTACAAATTATATACAAATTATAGTTTTACAAAGAAATAGTTTTATTAAGCATATACATTTTATTTCTATTAAGAATATCTAAATATATAATCTAAATACTTAAATATCACACAAAATTATTAAATTTTGTGTGATATTTAAGTATTTGATGAGAAACAAAATGTTTGGATCTAATCTCGCATCTTATTCACAATCGCATAACGCATCGCCTTCATTTAAATTCGGTAATAATAACACTCAAGCTCAACATTTTTCTAGTAAATCCATGCTAATGAACCAACCACCTGGATATAATTTTGGCGTCCCACCGAATAAGCAGGTGCAGATGCCGCTTCCCACTCAAGGTCAGCAGCGACAATTTAACAGTTTCGGAAACTATTATCAACCACCACAACCTAATAACAACCAAATGCAATTCGGATATCGTCCACCTCAAGTTGGCTATAGACCTGTAGGCCTTTAGCCTTTACCTTTGATGCGTCTTCAACAGCGAAATAACCGCGAACTAATACAGATGTGTCGATGCGCACAGCACCTGTAGCATGACCGCAGCAAGGTTTTAGGTTAAATGAATTAGAATTAAACGAGAATGATTATAATGACGACATGTATTACTACGAAAACCCATATTATTTCGATCAATATCCTAATGACGCTTCTTATTATTACCCCGAATATCAATCAGAAGAAACTAAGACCAACGTGGCAGATACGAATAATATTAAGACGACGGAAAATATTGAAAATTTTCACATAAAAATCTCAACAATACCCCCGAAACTCGCTGATGCTGTCTCGTATCAAACTAAACGCATTAGATTCCAACGATGACACTGATACGATGCAAGTAAACGTAGACGATACAGACAAAAACCTTAAAAACTATGTAGACAGCTTGACCGACGAAATGTACCGCATAGCAAAGCTAAGTAAACCAAATGAGAACTCCGATACAATAACTGTGTCTGACCTATCAACTCTGATCCAATAGATAGAACAGAACAAACTTATTCCGTACCATCTATTAGCACAGAAACAGTACACTCAGCGTTAGAATTAGAATCTACAGGTATACCTACTGTTAGCGACGATACGTGATTTTAATTACTTATTTAATTTTGTTTTTTATTGTAATTTAAAACTACGTTAAGATAGACTTAGTCAATAAAATGTTTAAGTGTACTCTGCATAGTTTTTAGGATTAGCAAGCGTGATGTTGTTGTAATGATTTAATGTTGTGCATTCCTGCCGCCTGGCGGCGCTACGTGCGCTAACGTCGCATAAGTTTAGCTACTAGGAAACTTTACCGTAAAGAAGACCGTTTCAGTATTTTTATTATTTTAAGGTATAAATTAAGGTTTTTAAGACTGTTTAGTGTGTAATATGATAAACATAAGTTCGATCTAGTATTAGAAATGTATAAAAACTTTGTAAAGGGATGTTTTACCACAAAAAACAACATTTGTAGGTTTTCCATAGAAAAAGTCGCCTGCGCTCTGATTGGTCAACGGAAATCGATTAGTGCCGTGCGCAAAATTTAATAGTTGTGATTGGTCAGAGGCGCCTATAAAAAAGAGGCGTTTTCTGTGGTCAGACATTCCGAATCCGGCAAGTGTAAGAATAACATCAAGAAAATAAATAGAAGAAACTCTGAAGAAGTGTTATTATTATTCATCCTACTGCTACTGCACACTCTCCAGTCGACATCCCACCAGCGTCAATTTCAAATCGATCGACGCTTCCAAGAAGATCACCGCCGAGCAGCGTACACGGGCATCAACAACCCATTCTTCATAGCAAGAACACCGCCGGAGAGGAATCAACATCGGGGGACGTAACTTATACCCCCCCCCCCCCCGACCCGCACCGTCAAAGCGTCAGTTCCTCACCAAGAAGAGAGTCATCCAACGCCGTAGATTCAAGAAAGAAGTGTCGCAGTAAAAACACGTCTGAACGAGGGAAGCACACCAACGTCCAGAGAAAAGAG